GCTGGAAACCTTGTTTTTGCAAAATAAATTGATCAATTGCAATCAATGCAATTTGCTATTATAGGCCTAATAAATAAATTCTTCATCAACCGATATAACCTTAAACATTCTTGGAATTGAAGAGAGTGTAAGTAAAAAAATTCTTCAACTTAACATTTATAGAAACATAGAAACAATTAAAAGACAAACTTGTGGCAAAAGTATTATTGCTAAGACCAGTTTTCTGACAAAAATAGTGTTTTTATTTCTGAAAAAATACCTTAAAATGCACCTCCAAAATAAATTTAAAACCAAATATTCCATTACAATTATTTTTTTTAGAATAACAATGGGTCAAGTGTTGACTGTAAACAGAATCATCCTGAAGAGAGTGTAAGTAAATAATTCTTCAACTTCATATATATAGAAACAATTAAAAGGCAAACTCGTAGTAAAATTATTATAGCTAAGAGCAGTTTTTTGGGTAAAAATATTGTTTTTATTTGTGAAAATATACCTTAAAATGCACCGCCAAAACAAATTTAAAACCCTAAAAACAAACCCCTTATTATTGATTTATTTTCTATGCTAAATTGAAAATTCAAAATATATTTTATTAAAATTATTTTTTTTTTTTATGATCACAATGGGTCAAGTGTTGACAGTACACAAACATTTTAATTTTTTTTTATTCATACAGTATGATCCTTTGCGAACATTTAAAAGAAAAAAATATGTTGATACGACCTTCCATTAGGGATTTATGAATTTTAATGTAACATGACTTCTGAAAATATGGTCGAAACGCTATGTTATTTCTATTGGTTACACTTCGCTGCTCAGCATTGTTTGTCATCGATTGAAGATGTCTACTTCAGCGTGAAATATTTATAGAAACAATTAAAATACAACTCGTGGCCAAATTATTATTGCTAAGAGCAATTTTTGGGTAAAAATAGTGTTTTTATTTGTGAAAAAATACCTTAAAATGCACCGCCAAAACAAATTTAAAACCCTAAACAAACTCCTTATTATTCAGTGATTTTCTATACTATATTGAAAATTCAAGATATATTTTATTAAAATTATTTTTTTCCGGATGACAACGGGTCAAGTGTTGACAGTAAACAAAATCATCCTGAAGAAAGTGTAAGTAAAATAATTCTTCAACTTCATATTTATAGAAACAATTGAAAGACAAACTCATGGTAAAATTATTATTGCTAAAAGCAGTTTTTCGGGTAGAAATAGTGTTTTTTTTGTAAAAAAATACTGTAAAATGCATTGCCAAAACAAATTTAAAACACT